GCCACTGCCTCAGGATGCACTTCTAAAATTCTTAATCACTTTGCTAGGTGGCAAAAACCTTAATCACTAGAAAAAGGAGCAGCAAGAGCCTGTGTCATACACTGCAGTATCTTATAAATAACCCWTGAGCAAGAGATGCAGAACTGGAACTGGGAACATGGGCAAACTCCCTCTGCATCAGCCAACTGCTTTGGTGACACTCGTGGGTGGATGGCATTGGGAGCGCCACGGAGCAAAACTCAGCGTTCGGCAGCACAGCAAGCCACCACACAAAATCAACCATGTTTAACCTACCATTCCTGTCTAACCACTCTATTCCTCCTTTCCCCTCATGCCAATTCAGCTTGCAATTAAAATAAACTTTTACCAGTGCTAGAAAAAGGGAAAAAAAGTTCCCTGTCATGTTAAGTGAGTTAAMTTGGCTCACAGAAGCATCTCCTGAGTGCACACAGCCTGGTGAGAACAGAGRAGGAAGTGAGATCCTCTCTTCTCTGAGTAGCCATGAGATGTTAAGACATCTTGCTCACTTTTGTGAAACCACAGCTTTACCCTACATTAGAGCAGATTAGACATAAATTCAATCAGCAAATTTAGCCAAGGTACCAGATAAGTAGCTTTCAGTTCAGCTGACAGCTATGYATTTGAATGCTTTCCCCTATACATGCACAATCCTCCAAAAATTGCATCTTTTACTGTCTGTGAGACAATAAGAAGGACTGCATTTTATTTGTAATCTAAAAAGATAAGAAATCCAGGAATATATGCAACCCCAGATTTCAATATAGCAATCTTAATTTTAGCAAGACTTGTCCACATACTCTGATAGCCCCATGAACCATTGCAACTCACTGATAATGGCAAAAAAAACTTAGGAGTTTGTAGAAAAATCTGATCAGTTAAGAACCTGACCAAAGACAGAACTGATGCAARGAAAAGGAAGGAACAGTGGCTAAGAGCAAGGGGAGAAAGGAAAAAGAAAGAAAAGAAATTTTTAATGTCTTTCGTGTAATGGAAAGAGCTGTGGTGCTACAGGGTTTTGTCTTGTATGTCTTTGTAGTCTATGAACCACTTATAAAATGGAATCTGTAGAGCAGTATGGGAACTCGAAGGGTCACACACCATTAAGGTGACTGGACCTGGCAACTCCACTTTCCCTAGAAAGTGTTAGACGCCTGTTATTGAAGTGTTTTGACCATCCATCACTGTACCATGAAATGATACTAAAGCACACAGCAGTTGAGCTCTGGCATAAACAAAACCCCAGCTATTTAACTTGCAACTTGTGGCATTTTCCACTTTCTGCAAGGTCACTTGAATCCAGATAATTCATCAATACATGCCAAGTGTCTTACAGCTGTTCCAACATTTTCTAAGATCATGGTTTAGTTTGCAGCCTATTAATATTTCCAAGAAAAGAAAAACAGAGGTGCTCYTTCAGTCAGAGATGAAACAATCAAGCACACATTCACATATTAGGTAGGATATTTGATTCAATTATGGGTAAAAATAAAGCAAAATCTTTTTCAAGTCCTATTTTAGTTGGCTTTGTAACAATAACATCTAATTACTACTGCAGCATTAATAGTTCAGTCCATACAACAAACACTGACAGACAACAGAAAATTATTGGGGTTGCAACATGGTCACTCTTGTAGCATTTCCCCTGCTGCCATGATAGCATTTTACCTCAGAGGGTGAGGTTCGAAATGGTAAATCACCAGACCGGGTTTCAACAGAAACTCTCTGACAAAARTTTTGCTTCCCCCCACCACCCCACAACAGTTCCACTCACTTTCTTTCATTCATCCCTGTAGTATCTGCAGGCACTGCCACCTTGAAAGCAGTGTTCAGGGTTCCACTCTCTTTAACATTTGCCACTACTGCAACAATCAATTTTCTCTGTTTCAGACGCTTTACGTACTCAGAGCACGACAGGAGTCAACAGCTCGACTGAGACCAGAACAAACTCGACTAAAGAGAGACTACCCCAGACATCTCAGTTAAGAGCCAAAATCTGCATTTCTGTGCATTAAAAGGATGAGCAACTACACTAATCTTGTCTAGCAAATGTGTATGTGTAGTCTTGTTTTGAGACTTGGAACACCCAGTAAGTAACCACCCACAGTGCTATTTCCCTTCTCACTCGAGGGAGTCTCAAAACGGAGGTGGAATGAAGAAAAATTATGGGGAATGGACAGTGATTTCCAGAAGGAGGGGTGGAAAGACAAGAGCAGAACAGGACCAAAGGTAACAAATGAGTAGTGATATTAGGATAGGAGTATTGTGYTCTAGGCAAGGAGGCACAAAATAAGGAGTCAGCAATTTTTGTGCAGAAAATCCTCAGGGATAGGGTAAAACTTTTTATAACTGATCTCAAACAGGGTGAGGACGATACATCCTGGGGAAGGAGAAGTCTGTGTTTAAGAGAACTGCTCTTCCAGCAGCTTACACATGAGATCTGCCTATACCCAAATCTTACCGCATGAAATAATCTGAGGGAACATCCTGCTCACCAGCTTTTCTCACATACTGAGCATAACCAGAGTTTCTAGCTATTAATATTAAGGTTTCAGGCTACCATYCCTGCATGCATTTCAGGTTTGTTTTTACACTATTAGCCAAACAAAGTACTTAAGTGATGCACTAAGTACTCTCCTGGAAGGCTGCCTTTCTATTATTGTTCCTTTTATGAGGCTGTAAATAGCATTCTTAAACAAGCAATAACCCTCACAGTTTTGCAGTCACCCTTTCTCAGAAAAAAAGTTGTACACCTCACCCATATTTTTAGCCAAAGTGAGAAAGATTTACAGTATAAACTGTTCCTAACAGTCAGTCTCTCCCAAACAATTCCCCTTGARTGAATAATAAATACTCACAAATACTGATCAGGCACACCCGCATTAAGGAGCCACCAAAACACACTAATCAAGAACAGTAGTAGATCATTAATTTGCARAATAAAAGCCTCTCTCAACAGGAGCCGAAGGCTTACTTGTTTTAAAGCCTTTTCGAGGTCTACAGGACACAGGAACACCCAAACCCAATCCTTAAAGACATGCACTCTTTCCAAAGCACACTGTTGAAAGTAAAATTAGCTATGGAAAATAAATTCAGCTTTTTCAGAAGTTACTTCTAGGAAAGCTGTACAGTTTAACCAAGGCTACAATATTTTTGTTCCCTTTGCAATTTGAGMTTTCAAATCCACAAAATACCTTGGAGCTCCTACCCCAGCTACTCTTACTAAGTGATGGAGAATCACATTAGAAGCTGGATACTCTATGCTACGGCCAAAAGCCCTCAAATGTTTTATTTTACACACTTCAAAAAGAACTTTCATCCTACTGAGAACACAAAAACTAGATGCTTTCTAGCCTGCACCACAAGACCAAAAATATACTCCAAAATGAATGCAGGAAAATGGCTTTTTTTAGTGTCTTAAGAACATCATGCTTCATTTCAGTCTAGCATTCAGTATCACACATGTGCCTTAAGAAGCCCACTCTTAGGAAGATACCGAGATACCACAAAAAGCAACAAGCAGCCCAGATGCCATAACGTTTTTGGGTTGGTGGGTTTTTTGTTAAAAGCACACTACATGTCCCCCAAATGTCATTTTGGAGTCTTTCTTTTTCCACAGAATTCAATAATTCTGTCCTCTGACACTAACAACTTTAACAAACACAACATGCCAGACCTTTCTAGAATTATTTCATAACTATAGCAACATTAGAGGAGGTAGGAAAAGTGTCCCTGAAAASTGAAGACAAAGGCATCACCACATTTCCCTAGGCTAAATGCCTTCATGTATCAGTTAAGCAAGCATCCCACAATATACCYCTGTCCTCAGGCAGTTTTTCCCCTGAAGCCCCTTATTGTGCTGTTCAATTTCATCCTGGGAGGAAACTACCACCCAACACTGGTTGCTGGAAAATTCCAGCAAATCCCCCCACACTGACCCCCGGAGCAAAAGGGGAAAGTCAGCGGATCACCATTTTCCCACTTCAAACGAAAAATCAGGTTTCAAACTATCACAGCAAGAAACTATCCCAATGAAACTTAAGACACTTTTATTTTGAAGAAGCCACTGCCTCTTTTAAGATCTATGAAATAATTAGGGTCACTAGAATCAAAACTTGCACAGCCAAAGCAGTTTAAATTAAGACCACATAAAGCAAGTTCCTGTTTTTGCATCAGTAGATGTTTGCCACCACAGAAGCAGATAAAATGCTAACTAAGAGCAGGAGATGTAGCTGGCATATGCGAATGTGAACAYCTCTGCTAACTTTTTCACTACCTTTTATTTATTTATAAATAAATAATCAAAAAGGTGTCCTTTCCTCSACACAGTTATCTTCCTTCCCCATTTATTCGTTTTTCATTCTCCAGTGGGTTACACGCTAAACAAGGCTGTGCAAAGCAGACTCCACAAACAAGTTTAGCGTAGCATTTAGGGCTCTCCGGGGGGGGGCCAAACTTTTCTCTCTTGCATCTCCACGGCCCCGCCACCCCTCGGTACGCGTCCGACGAGCTCCCTCTGAGGGGCAGCGCCCGCAGCAGCCCAAAGCCCCCGATTCAAACCGCAGCCCGGGGCTCCGCCGGCCGCTTCGGGGAACAGCGTGTCCCTCACCTCGCGGACACCCCCCGGCTCACCTCCTCCTCCTCCTCCTCCCGGGCGGCGGCACGGAGCAGCGCCCGGTGGGAGCGGAGCGCGCCCGGGACACCGCCGCCTCTCCACACGCCCTCCCCCGGTGTGCGAGCGGCTCCCGCGCCCCGGGCCGGCCCTACCCCCGTCCCCAGCCCCGCGGGGTGGCCCTAGCCCCGTCCCCAGCCCCGCGGGGTGGCTGGAGCCCCCTCCGCGGGCGGCACGAACCGGGCCGGTCCCCGCCGCCCCCGGGATCGAGCGGTGCGGGCGGGGGCCCTCTGGCGCCGGCCAGGGGAGGGAGCGCGGCCACCCCTCGCCTCCATCCCGCTTTCCCTCCCGCGCCGCGCACCGGGCTCACCTCGTCGTCGTGGTGCTGGCAGTAGCTGGCCCGGTCGGGAAAGACGGAGAGGATGTTGTACGGCGAGGCGGGGTAGGGCGGGCTGAGGGCGAGCGGCGCGGCGGAGCCGGCGGCGGCGGGGCCGGCGGCGAAGCGCTCRATGAAGTGGTCCTTGGTGAGGCGGACGCGCTGGTGCGCCCGCACGCAGTTGTCGCACAGGTGCTCCTGGCAGTCGAGRCAGCGGGAGCTGGCGGCGTTGCCCTCGTCGCAGGAGCTGCAGCGGGGCTCGCCCTGGCGGCTGTGGGGCCGCCGCAGCAGGAGCGCCGCCGAGCCGCCGCCGCCGCCGCCCGAGGAGGAGGACGACGACGACGTCGAGGAGGGCGCGGCCGAGGCCCGAGCCCGCAGTGGGGCCGGCCCCGGCGGCGCGGCCGTTCTTCTGCTCGTCGGCGGCGGCGGCCACGACGACGACGTCCAGCAGGTTGCTGAGGAGGAAGTTGGAGGAGGGCAGCGCGTCCATGCCCGAGGGCTCCGAGATCACCACCTTCTGGTCGCAGATGGGGCAGCGCAGCTTGAGCGCGTCCCCCGCGCCGGGGTGCCGCTGCGCCTCCAGGCACTGGCGGCAGAAGGCGTGCAGGCAGGGCAAGACGTGGAGCCGCCGCGGCGGGCCCCCGCAGGAGGAGCCGCCGCCGCCCCCGGAGGAGCTGGAGGTCTGCGAGGAGGACGAGGAGGTGGAGGAGTTGGACGAGAGGGGAGCCGGCGAGCCGCACATCTCCTTGCACAGCGGGCAGATCTGGAAGTCGGACTCGGGAAACGAAGCCATTTGCGACGGGCGTGACTCCCCGAAGGGGGCAAAAACGTGTCTTTCCTCCCTCAAAAAAAAAAWTTWAARRAAAAAAAAAGGCGCAAAAGCGTGGGCGGAAAAGCAGAGGCGTGGGGAGAAGGTAGTTCTGCAAGCAGCTTACGAGCAAGCTGGCATCGATCAGTCGTTTTGCCAAGTGGGATCGATGGGCCGGTTTTGCAAATACGGTGTCATCGATCCGACGGTCTGCAGGGAACTGGGTCCTCGCCTCGTACCTCGCTGCTGCCGGGCTGGCTGCTGCAGGGAGGGGGGAGTATTTTTGGTATCAAGGTGTAGCTGTCCCGTTGTCCCTCAGCAAATGGATCCTCTTTTCCCTCTCATGTACTTAACCCCCGATGCTCCGTTGCATTAGACAAATTGTATCGATTCCCGGATCGGTCAATACCTCACGCAGTCTTCTCATCTCCCCCTCGGGTCAGCAGTTTGACAACGTGGTTTGGTTACTTGTCTTCTTCCTAAACGGAAAGTGCATGGGCGCCGACCGCCCGATCCCCGCCGCATCCAGCGGGGACCGAACTCTGTCCGCCGGCTCTCGGCTCCGGTTCCCACGGCCGCAGAACCGGGTCGGGGCGGCAGTGCAAGTCCCTCTCGGCCGGGCGGGTGGGGGGCAGCAGGGGCTTAACTCAAGTTTCGCTCTTTCTTCTTGGGAAGTTGGGTTTTTTCCTCTTTTCCTTTAAACCTGTGCTTGTCGGGGGGGAAGGGGAAATTTCGTTTCAGTTCCCCCCTCCACTTTTGCAATCCAGAGCAGCTCTAGGAGAGAGAGAGGCACTGAAACACAGTGGCCAGGCAGACTTCTCCGGCTCCAGTCTTCCCCCGCCGACGCCTGCTCCACCACCGCATGACTGGGGGGTGGGGATGGAGGGCGGCGTTGGTGCCCACCCCACCGGCAGAGACTCACGCTGGCGGGACGCGGAGAAGGAGGAGATGGGAAGAATAAAGGGGCTCCGAGGACGGCCAAGAAGGGCAGTCCCCTCTCTCGCCTCTCTCCCGCCGGACGCCTTCCTTTACGCGGGGCTTCCCGCGGAGGGCAGCGCCGAGCCCGCAGCAGCCCCGCCACACGCGGTACCCGGCGGCTCGGGCGGCTGCTGCCGGCCGGTCAGCGACGCGGGCTCGGCGCGGCTCGCAGAGGCTGCGGCGGCCGGGCAGAGGAGCAGCGGCAGGTCCCCGCCGGCCGCCCTGAATTATTCATGGGGGGTGTATTATATTCGCTCGCACAAATTGGAGCCGCTGTGCAATGCTATCCGAGAGCGCTACGCTCGCCCCCTCCTCCTCCTCCTCCTCCTCCTCTCCGGTTCTCGCTCGCTCTGAGCCCCTGCAGCGCCTAGGATCACATTTCCTTTGTCATCTCGCCTCTTCGCGTGGTGTTTTATTGAGAAAACAAAAATAATATAAAACCCGAAGAAGAGGCGAGAGGAGGGGGGGGAAAAAAAAAGCAGCGAAAACCAAAACGCCCGCCTCCCCCGCGATCTGCCGAGCCGGAGCCCACCGGCCCCGGGGGGTTGAATTAGCAGGAATTACTCACTGATGCAGCAGCACCGTCCCGGGCAGCGTGGGATCCGGGGAGAGCCATCGCGCCGGGCGCCTTCCCCGCCTGGCGGGGTGCGGAGGGCGGCCCCGGGGGGGCAGGGGGCGCGGGGCTGGCGGCGGCGCTGGCTCCGGCCCCGCTGCGGCCGCCGGCACTGGGGCGGCGCGGCGTGCGGGAGCCTTTTAAGCTCCGACGGCGCGGGCTGACTTCCGCCCGGCTGCGGGGGGCGGCCGGGGGGCGGYGGCGGCGGGCAGGAAACATTCGCCCTCCTCCGGCCCGACCTGCCCCCATCCGCCCGCATCCAGCCCCCTCCGCCCACCCCACATTTTTTAATACCGCCGCTTTCAGCGCCGGGGACCCCCCTCCCACTGTGGGTCTGACGTGCCCCGGCCGTGGCTCGGGCGGTCGCCAAACCCTCGCGCCCTTTTTGGGTTTGGGATGCGAGCGGGGCTTCGAGGCCGTTCTTTGAAAGCATCGAGACACTAATGCAGCTTTAAACATGAAGACTCTCGAGCAATTGTTTTCTGACGCCCAGTCTTGGGGTGACCGGCTCCTCTCCGCGCTCTTGCGGTTGCCGCCGGGTCTGCCGTGCCTGGGAGGGCGAGCCCGGCGGGGTTTGCTGCTGGGCAGGGACAGGCGCTTCCTCTCCTTCAAAGTGACGCGATGAAGTTAGCAAAAATTAGCGGGGATGCCATATGCGCTGCTGCGAGACCAGAGTTTAATAAAAATCCGCAACGATTATTTTGTTTCTGATGAAACTCCCTGCCAGCAGCAACTTCGTGGGTGGAAAGTTTCAGCTCGGCAGCACGGCCGAGTGGCCACCCTCTTGGTCAGCGGGGCTTGTGGTAGAGAGAGAGGACACATGGCACTGCACCCCTAACACGGCAACTGGAAATGCCAAGAAGTTTTAAAACGTGGAACTGGCTTAGGAATTGGAAAGTCAAAAAAACAGGAAAAGTAATAAAAATGGGAAARTATACGGATTAGTGAATGAAAGCATCTGTAAATAAGCAAAATAAACTCAAAACAAATTACTGTTCAGTAATGATAATATATTTTCACAACCACCACAGGAAAACTGGTTACTGTAATGTATTCAGTTAYGTTTCTCCTTTGTTGAGCTCTTAGATGTAAAAATAACTAATGCTATTTTGGTCTCAGACATACAAATAACACTAACTTAAACCGTCTACTTAAAAATGTCTTTTGTCTTCTGCTGACRAGTACTAAACACAGCTGAAGCCATGGCTGTGGGGATGTGTCACCAAAAGCTCTTTGGAGAACAGAGAAATTTGGGAGTGCTAACATCCTTATGCAAGAACAAGCAATGGGAATCACTGAGGAAGACCGTGGGGCAACACACGTGCATTAAGTTGTAAACAAGCATGAATGTTTATTATGCCCCTCAGTAGTATATTCTGCTGAGAACCTGCCTCATGTGTTACTAAAGGATTTGGCTCTGGGGCTGTGWTCTTTATATTACAAATCCATATGCTCCCATTTGAGCATGCAGGTGAAATCCACCACAGYTTCGACTATCAGAGGTTAACAAATCATTGAGCCTTGCCTCAGCTCTGTTTATTTGCCCTGTGGTTGCCGCAGAGAGTTATGATGTTGCAGAGCTTGTCCTTTCCCCAATGAAGTCAGTTAGTTGGGAAGAGTGGGAACTCCCCGAACAACAAGCACACGTTGATCTGTTTGGGTTTCCCAGATAACGCTTTGCACCGGCTCCCTCAATAGAAACTGTCATCTTTTGTGTTCAGAAATATTTTAATTGGGCAGAAATTCCCAGATGCGTGTCTCCAGGCATATCTGACACCCCTGCCTCCCTCCGTGACAGCTGTTTGCTTTCCAGCAAACCGGCTGAAGGGGGCAATTCTGTGYGTCCATGCTTCGAACGGTCCTGAACGGGCTCACAATGCTACCTATGCGCTGTGGAAGGTCCTTTCTGCTGACAGGATCCACTGTGTTTGTGCCAAAGCTCCTGAAACTTGTTTACGGCTTACACCCTCCCTGAGCTTGTAAAAGGCTATAAGCGATTCACTGTCCCTGAACAGTGGGTCCTTATTCTCCAGCTGTCACCCTCGTATTGGAGCACCTCTGTCTTGCTGAATCAAAGTCCTCCTTTTCTTCTCCCTCCATGACCACCRCTGAAGGAATGCAACGATTCGAGGCTTCCTCCAATTATGGTTGGCTTTCTGTCTTCACTATGAAAAACGCTGAAATAAAGCTAAAGGGAACCCACCGGTGTGTGCTCAACTACGCAGCAGATAGCACCGAGCATTTTTCTGCTTAGTGCATTGACTCGATGGTTTTCGACTCAATTAACTTGTTCTGCTATAAAAATACCCTCAGCTCTCTTCAGACTGAGGCCTCAATATATTTCATTTGTTTTCTAAGCCGACAAACATGTGAGTGAATAACAGCAGGGGGGCGATAGGTGAAGTGCGGGAGGCTTCTCATTCCTTGTTGGACAGCAGGATGAGAACTTATTTTTATGATTTTTCCCTGGGAAGCTAGTGCTTCGCATTTTCCCTTTTTGTTTCTTAAAAACAAAAGAACAATAGCTRTCCTGGTTAGCGGGGCTATTGTCCCTCTGTGCCAAATAAATGAAATCTCCCTGCTTACGTGAGTGTCTGAGACATTTCTCTGCATTCTGCTCATTCTCCTTTGTGTCGCTCTGCCGAGGTTTCTCGCATTTTATCCCCTTTTTTCCAGTCTTTTTCAATCCATTTCTCTCATCTTTCTTTTGTGCTCCATTCATAYGCTGTTGCTGGTCTGAATTTGAAATGATGTGGTTTGTACTAAAAAGGCGAGCCCATATTTTAAACTGTGTTGAAATCATAACCATGTCATGATCACATCAGAACTGTGTTAAAACATTAACCATTAAAACATCCTAACAATGCTAAAACCTGGGCATGACTGGCCAAACCTTCAGAGAGACTGAACAGAATTGAAATAGCTCTGGAGATCCAGGCCAGCTTCTACCTGGTTGAAAAATCTCTATTTGGCAACATTTTTCTGTCCTTGACTAACTGCCCAGCCACTGCAGCTAAAGGATGCATTCAAAAAGCTTTTTTTTTTTTTTATTTTTTTTTTATTTTCCCCCTTTAATTTTAGTGGAAAATAGGACATTAAAGCAGAAGATTGCACCTGAGTCATTCTCTAGTATCTGCTTGGAACGTCAGGATGAGCCTTCCACTTGGAAGCTCAGTTTTCTTGAAGGAAAGAATCTGCTTTCTGCCAGCAGCACTACAGGACAAACAGAAGGGTGTTCCTGCCAAAAGCAATACAGCYGGAAAAGCCAGGGGTCTGGAGGTTAAAAGCTTTGTTAAATAGAACCAGGTAYAGTAATTGTGAGTTTGAGGATATTTTACTATMATTTTAGAGGCAAACATTCACAGAAAGAGCCCTCCCCGATACCACCTGCCTGAAGTGCTCCAGCAGCCTGATATGGTTTGCCCTGCT